TGAGGGGAAGGTCCCTGCGAGAAGAAAGCCCTGCCTGCCTGCCTGCCTTGGCCGTGCCGTTCCCCGTGTGTCCTCCTGCCGCAGGGGAGTGGCTCATGTGCTTAAAGTCAGCCCTGGTAGCTGGGCAGGAGCAAGGGAAGCCTGTGTCCTCTGCGCCTTGGAGGTGGTTTGGTTCACCTCTCTGGGGTCAAAAGCAGGGGGAGAAACATCTCCAAGGCTGATTTGCCATTCGGCCTCAAAGAGCATCTGTTCTTCTGGCAAGTGCCATTCTGGGTCTGGTCTTTGCCCTTAGGTCACTTGGTTAATGCCACTTGGAAAGGTTGTTCCAAACTGGAGGTCGAGGAGTGAATTTGTCTAGACAGATAAGGCATGCCCAGTTCCTTGGGGTTGTACATTCTAGAAGGAAGCCTGAGTGAGGGTGGAGTAGCCTCGACTAGGCCATTTTGTGCAGTGCAGCTCATTGTGTGTTATCTCACTGCACAGTGTTCCTGAGGTACCCACTGAATAGCCCTGCAGATAAAAACCCTACGGCAGCTGCTTCTGACCCCCTTTCTGTCCTTTGTTCTCAGTTCCTGCAGAGACGACCTACCACAGCCTGGAGGACGGGGTGGTGGAGTACTGCACCACTGAAGCCCCCACCACGGTCACCACCGAAGCCCCCTTGGAGATGATGGCCCATCAGCACGAGGTGTCTGCCAAGCCCCAGGAGCTGAAGAGCCGCATCGCTCTGAACTCGGCCAAGCTCCTGCAGGAGCAGCGAGTCACCAACCTGCACGTGAAGGAGATTGCCCAGCACCTGGAGCAGCAGAACGACTTGCTGCAGATGATCCGACGCTCTCAGGAGGTGCAGGCCTGTGCCCAGGAGCGACAGGCACAAGCCATGGAAGGAACCCAGGCAGCCCTGAGCGCCCTCATCCAGGTCCTCCGGCCCATGATCAAGGACTTCAGAAGGTTTTTGCAGAGCAATACACCCAGTCCATCAGTCACTGCTGACCCCAACCAGGCAGGGCAGCAGGATGGCATGATCCAGTGAAAGGAACAGAGGTGGGATGTCTTTCTTGGGGAAGAACCTGCCCGTGATGCTGGTGGGCACAGGGAGCGAGGGGTGCTGGCTCCTGGCAGTGTGAAGTGTCTTGCCTTGGAGTCTTGCTGAGCCTAAACACTTGGGGTTTTTTCTCTACTAATCTCATGCTAATCTGCCTTTTCAGACTCACCCTAGAGAGCTGTAGCAGGATGTGTAATAAGCCAGGAACTTAGCATTGGTTACTTTAATTCTTCAAACAACAGATTTATTGAAAAAAAAAAAAGTTATTTTTTTATTTCTGTTTGGATAAAACTCTCTGACAGCTCCCTCTGAAGATCTATGGCCTGTAAATGACTTCTGACATGGAGAGTCTCGTGGTACCAAGTGCTGCAGCTGCCCAGGTACAGTTGCCATAAGCCAGAGTGCATGACTGGGAATGCCTTTCTGCCTCCTGCTGGAAGCACTTACTGGAAACCTGGCACCAGGCTTGCTCCAACCTTTTATCTGCACCAAGAGTTACGGATCCTGCTCTTGGAGCTGGACATCCAGCCCACCCAGACCAGCACCAAGCCTACATGCAGTTAAAATCCCAGTCACATCCCCCAAGGATATAAATCAGGTTAACAAAGTTCACCTCATGCTCTGTCTCCATGTGGTCATGAAACTTCTCTATAAACTTGGCAGATGGGATGAAAATTTCATGTCCTTGTTACCAGATCCTGTGCTGGGATACGGACCAGGAGTAACATTAACCTGTCTCAGCCCAGTTAATGCACAAGGGCCTGGATGAGTTTCACTCTGGTGTGAGGGAGGAAACCCCATCTCTGTCTCATCTGCATAATTTGTCACCTCTGTAATACCTTGATCCATCCAAGCAGAGCTGGGCTGCAGAGCTCCAGCCTCTCAGCAATTCCCAGCATTTAGGGGTTTTTCAGCTGCTGATTTAATGGAGGGAATTTTGGTTATGCTGTTGGGGTGATGTTTGTTCTGTACTTGTTTGGAGCTGGAAGCTCTTTGTTAGTCTGCTCCCTGCCTTCCAGTGGCCTCCTGAAAAGTGGGTCTGAGGTTCACCTCACTATTTCCTTACCATTATACAGGGTAAAACAACATTTGCAGCCACTTTTTTAGGTGTTCAGGCTGCAGGGCTTGGTCCTGGGTGAGAAAGCTTCACTTCTCAGAACGGTGAATGTTGTTCTAACAGTAAATTCATCAACTTCTAGGTGGAAAGGTCCCCTTGTATGTACATGGAAGCAAACTTCAGAAAAAAAGGAAAAGAAGGAAAGATAACTCTTCTTCTCCATGTACCTTGCAATGTGTTATCACGTGTAATAGGCTTGTTGCTTGCCAGGTGTGATTTTGAAATGGAACATATTCAGAGCTGGTATTTGCTTGTTGTTAAATCTCCTTCAGGGCAGAGACGTGGGGAGCAACGACTGACGAGGGGAGTGAATTTGCACAATCAAATTAAACCTTTACCCAGCCTTTTATGGGGGGAGGCTGATAAGGGACCTTGGTTAGAGCAGTAGGTAAAGAGGCTGCTGCTGCCTGTCTCTGGCCTTCGCTCATCTCCTCCCATCTGATGGAGGGGAAAGGGACAGGGTGGCAAGAAGGGTTAAGCCCCTGGAGAACTGACCCTTTGGCATGGATACCCCTGCTCTGAGCCCTGTGTCTTCCCACCTTTTCCAGCTTCCTGCCACAGGAGCAACACTCACCTGACTCTTCCTCTCAGACTTTGTGGAATCAAACCAACTGCTCAATTCAAATTTATTTTTAAAGTGAAAACTCCTGTCGGATGTGTTGGTTTACCTCATTTGTGTAACTATCTCCTTTACAAATACGAATTTTAATTAATAAAACAAAACCAAGACGTTTTTGCTAAAGAGGCTGTTTCCATTCATCAACAGGCTCCAGGGCAGAAGGCAGTTCAGGGCCACAAGTTTGCAACACAGAATCCTCCCTGAGAAGAGGCTGTGAGCAGCCACGTGCCACGGCAGCTTTTTCTCACGTTCATCAGCTTTGTGGCCTTTTATTTCCATAGTTATGGTCCTTTTTTCAACACAGCTTTTTCAGCCTTACCTTGGAGCACTAGCTCCTTCCCTGGATACAACAGGTTGCTGAGCTCTATTCATCTCCCAGATTGAGGTGCCACAAGAGCCTAAAATGATGACTGAAGTGCCAGCCTTTGGCTGTAAATTGCAGGTGTATTTTTTTTCAGTGACTAAGCACTTCAGCTGTGTTACTGTTTCAGAGGAATAAAGGTGTTGCCCTTGGAACCACCCATTTTTCCTGTCTTTTCAGGATAAATATAGAGCTTAGTCAAGCCAGCAGCATCCAGGTGCCAGTTCTGTCTACACATTTTTGTCCCATTAAAAAAGATGGAGCAATGTTTTAAATACAGGGTGAGCACTGTGAGGAGGAGCTTGGTTGTTGCTCATGCCAAGGTCATCAAACTTGGGGAGGAAAAGACAAAATTGTCCCATAAAACCAGGAAAAACAGGTGAACAGGACACTGACAGGGTGAAGACATTAAGCTGAACAGGGAATGGGTGGCCAAGCAGAACAAAAGCTGGGGAATATCATAGAATCCAAATGTTTTGGGTGGGAAGGACCTTAAAGATCATCTAGTTCCAACCCCCTGCGTGGGCAGGGACACCTCCCACCAGCCCAGGCTGCTCCAAGCCCCATCCAACCTGCCCTTCAACACTGCCAGGGATGGGGCAGCCACAGCTTCCCTGGGCATCCTGGGCCAGGCTCTCACCACCCTCACAGTGAAGAATTTCCTCCTCATGTCTCACCTCAATCTTCAGTTTTAATCCATTGCCCCTTGTCCTCTCACTCCCTGCCCTTGTCCCAGGTCCCTCCCCAGCTTTCCTGGAGCCCCTTCAGGCACTGGAAGGTGCTCTAAGGTCTCCCTGGAGCCTTCTCTTCTCCAGACTGAACACCCCAACTCTCCCAGCCTGTCTCCAGAGCAGAGCTGCTCCTGATCATCTTCATGGCCTCCTCTGGACTTGCTCCAGGAGCTTCATGTCCCTCTTATATTGGGGGCTCCAGAACATCTACAGATACTCACTTGTGCTCCTCTACTGTTCTTTGTGTACCTGGAGATTGGCATTCAGCATCCACAGCAGGGAAGAGCCACGAGGGGCTGTTCTGCCACAAGGTGCCTCAGAGGTGAGGGTGAATGACTGGGCAAGTGGTGTCCTTGTATCCGTGGGAGGAAGAGAAGGTTGGTGGGGGAGTCTTGGTGGGTCAGATGAACTTTGCAGCGATTAACAGCAGTGGCCAAGCTGCCAGCAGCACCACCAGCTGCCTCAGGAGCAAAACTCTGGCTGTGATGTGTGCAGGGCTTTCCAGGAGATGGCACTGCACACCGGAGCAAGGCACAGGGATCCCGAGCTGCAGCCCTGGCAGGTGACCCCAGAAACAACCCTTGTCCTCCAGACCTTTGGTGATGCTGCTTGCTTCTCTCACAGATGAATATTTTCAGGACTGAGAGCCCAGAGAGGAAGAAATTCAGTGGGCACAGCCCAGTGATGAGGCACAGCAGCACCCCTCAAAAAAGTCAGGATGCCTGGGAATGCAGAGCAGGTGCCTCTGCCTCCCACAAACACAGGCAGAGGACACCGAGATATCGGGAGCTGACAGCTCTTTTTAGGGTGAGTTTGCTGCAGAACCAAACGAGCAGGCACAAATACAAAAAAAACCCAACCCACACAAATTATTTCATTATAAGCAAAGGGGCAGGTTCTATGATTTTAAAAAAAAACAACCCTAAATATGTCAGCATCCCACGGATCCTGTTTGCTGCCACAGCTACCCTGCAGTTCTGGGAGTGGATCCCCACCAAGGGACAGGATGATACCACCTGTGTGCTCACCCAAATCACCTCCTCCATGGTTTTCGTTCTTCCAGCCTGCTTTGGCAAAGCATTCTTCACGGGTTTTGTGGGGGGTTTTTTTCCTGTTACCATCTGAGGTTATTGCCAACAGGTACTGCCAGCACAAGTGAGGCCTCTTCAGTATGAAAATGGAAGCATTGAAGACTCTTTCTCTTTCTTGAAGGCATCTGACAAGAAGTTTCACACAAATCACGGGCACAGCTTCCAGGCTGTGTTTTGGGAGCAGGA